GAGAAATCAAATGAAAAAAATCTGTCGCACAATATCTCATTAAAGTCTTACAAAACAAAGATGTAAAACTGAGAACTAAGGTGTGATGGAGCCAAGCAGTATTTTCAATTGTCTCATATGTATATGAAAGCTGTACATTGAATAAGAAAGATCAAAGAAAACTTGATGGATTTGAATTATGGCAGTGGTGATGAATAACGAAAGTACCATGGACTGCCAGAAGAATAAACCAATCTGTCTTGGAAGAAGTACAGCCAGGATGCTCTGTACAAGCAATGATGGTGAGACTTTAAAACTCGGGAACTTTGGATCTATAATCAGGAGACACCAAACCAAACCGAAATTTCAGTCACAGAGTTGATTCCAACTTACAGAGACCCTAGGGTATAACATCCCCCTGTGGGTTTCTAAGACTGTAACTCTTTATGGGAGTAGAAAGTCTCGTCTTTCTTTTGAGGAGTGGCTGGTGATTTTGCACTGCCGACCTTATAGTTATCAGCCCAACTTGTAAGCACTATGCCACCAGGAGTGGCAGTCCCAGGAAAGGACATCACGCTTGGCAAACTGGAAGGTCAGAGAAAAAGAGGAACACAGTACACATAGGAACTGGAAACACAGGGAATCCAGGACAAATGGAACCTCTCAGGACCAGTGGTGAGAGTGCCGATACCAGGAGGGTGGAGGGAAGGTGAGGGAGAAAGGGGGAACTGATTACAAGGATCTACATACAACCTCCTCCCTGGGGACAGACAACAGAAAAGTGGGTGAAGGGAGATGTCAAATGGTGTAAGATACGACAAAATAATAATAATTTATAAATTATCAAAGGTTCATGGGTGGCGGGGAGAGTGAGCAGGGAGGGGGCAAATGAGGAGGTGATAGCAAGAGCTCAAGTAGAAAGCAAATGTTTTGAGAATGATGATGGCAACAGATGTACAAATGTGGTTGACACAATGGATGGATGGATGGATGGATGGATGGATGGATGGATGGATGGATGGATTGTGAGAAGAGTTGTACGAGCCCTCAATAAAATGATTTTTAAAAATAAATAAATAAAAAATGAAAAAGAGGAAGACTATCAAGGATTAACCCAGTGGCTACAACTATGGACTCAAACATAATAACAATTGTGAGGATGGTGCAGGACTGGACACTGTTTCATGATTTAGCCCATCGGGTATCTATGAATCTGAGCTAACTCAAGAGCACCTACCACCACCACCAACGAAATATTATTGCGAATGGAGTCCCTGGGCAACACACATGTGGTAATATGCCTGCTACTAAGTGAAAGGTTGAGGGCAGTGTCCACAACTATCTGGACTCCCCAGGGGCTCCATAACAACCATGGAACATGCTAGATACGCACCGAAGCAACATCTGCTTTTTAAATGTTCTAGCCTGCACCATAGCCTCCTGGCAAGGAGTCTGAAAACCATTGATTTGTTCACAGAGAGTAACTAAGAGTGTGTGGAGGCTACATTTCCATTTGCATATTAATGATGCAAGTTTGCTTAAATTTGGAAAAAGTAGCATTCAGGTCAGGACTCCAGGTTGCCAACTTTAGAAACTGTCTTTAGTTAATTACAGCAGAAAGGAATTTATTGGCAGGATTTTGGCGGGGCTGAGGGTGGGGGTGGTTTACAGAATCACCAGGAAAGCTAGAGAACCAGGCTCACAAAATGGTGGCAGACTGAAACACACCGAGGAGCACAAACTGGAAGGAATGCTGTGTGGGTACTGTGTTTACAATACACCCATCAGCACATTGTTCAACTCCATTGTCCCTAGACACAGGCTGCTACAGCCTCTGGGCTTTCCACACCAGTAGGACCACACCAAATACTCCACGCTTCCAGGCTGGAACATCTGGTGAGCCAAGCTTGGTCACACCTGGCTCTTCTGTTGTCCTGATGAAGGGAAAGGAAATGCCTGCTCCCTTTAGGTGTGACAGTAGAGTCAAGTCCTGCCTTCTACCTGCTTTGGGATTTCCCATCCTCCCAGAAATGTTTAGATACTGAGAGAATACTGTGAATGTCTACTAGAGATACCAAGAAAGGAAGATACAACCTGAAGTTAGGACTAGAACTAAAAGGATCCAAAGTAGTTTTTAAAGAATTGTTTGTACAATTAATAGAAATTTAATGGTGTAGTGGGATACACGTTGGGATGCTAATCACAAGATTGTTGGTTCAACCCCATCAGGCACTCTGTAGGAAACAACATGATGAAGTTTCTGTTCCCGTAAAGATGCACAGCCTCAGACACCCAGGAGGGCAATTCTACACTGCTCTATAGAGTCTCTATGAGTTGGGATAGACTGTAGAGTAGTCAGTTTTTAATTTGTTGTTTAGATGCTTCACCTTAGAGTGTGGAATAGCCATAAAGTCTTTTCATGTCCATCAACTGTCAGTTTGTTGTACTGTGGAGACTTGCTTGTTGCTATGGTGCTAGAAACTACGCCACCATATTTCAAGTATAAGCAGGGCCACCCATAGTGGACAGGTTTCAGTGGTGCTCCTAGACAAAGACAGAATGGGAAGCAAAGCCTGATGGTCTCCTTAAGATTACCCATTGAAAACTTTCTGGATCAGAACAAATGTTCTAGGACATACTGCTGGGAGATGAGACCTCATAGCTTAGAAAACCCTCAAAGTATGCAAAGTCCGTTACAGTGAACCATGGCATAGCTTGAGGATGATGCAGGATGGGACACTCCATTTTGTTATGTATGGGTTCACCACGAGGCAGCTGACTCAATGAAAACAAACAAGAGCACTTTGTGCAGATGAAAAATTAAAGGGTCTGAGTCAGAATCAACTCTATGTCAGTGTTTGGCTGGTTGGTTTTGTCAAAATTGACTGGGCAGCAATGATCTTTTGACTTTCTTTTTTTTTTTTTTCCAGATTTTTTGACTTTCTTAACAGCATTAATGATGCCGGTAAAGTAACCACATGTGGCACAGTGGCCTTTCTTAAAAGCATGGTGACTGATGAAAAGTGTTGCTGTTGACAGTCTACTGACAGGCATAGTAGTGGGTCTTTAAGAGCCCACTGGGCAGAGAGAAATCTGCCCACTTGGAAAAGATAGCAGATGGCATTCATTGCCATCCCTGACAGAGTAACGGCTGGAAGTTCCATCTGGGAAAGAGCCTGTTTTCTCCAGCCAGGGAGTCAATATGTTTGCAATCTTCACATTTTCTGTGCTCTTTCAGAAGGACAGATTGTAGAAGGCTGGAAAATTCCACCCAGTAAGAATCACACCTTTTCATGTTACTTGAGAGAAGATAGGATGACGTTGAGAGCCAAAAGGAAAAGGACGGCAAGGGACAGAGGTGAACATATTGTAAGAAAGCCAAAAATTATTCATTAAGTGGAATGAAAAGGATGGATATTAAGCTCTGGCATTTGAAAATTTTGGTGGCCAAAGACCTTTCTGATCTGACCCACAGGCTTGAGTCAGAAAATGTATTCATGGTTGTTTCCATGGCTCTTATTCAGCGGCAAGTCACTTCCCCTTTCAGATTATTTCCATTTTTAAGGTCCAATTTCCATTTGCTTTTTTGATCTTCTGCTTTTAAGACTTTTAGCCAATATCATCATTGGCCAAGTGCCAAGTTTACTTTCAAGGCTTTAAACCTAGGTCTTTATCCTTGTTAGTAAATTCTGTTTGTAACTGGCTGCTCCATGGTCCACAGGGGTTTCCTGCTAGAGTAAAAGAAAGTGAGCTTCCTATTAAAGAATAGAGATAGCACTGAAAACCCTAGGACATCTCTTGTCGACATCAATGATGACTCAGAGTTCCAGGAAATACAGTAATGATGCAGTTAGCCATTTATTAATCTATATAATGAATTGTTACAGTGGACCACAGCAATTTCAGCATTGACAATTAAATGGAGATCTCAGGAGAAATTCCTTATTTTTTAATGAATATTTACTCTACTATGAAATATTATTTTAAATATTCCCAGTTTATTTGTTAATAAATGTTAATAAAGATTCTTCTAGGGTCTAGGTCAACTAGCCATAAAATATTTATAAATGTATCAATGATTCTCTGTATAAAAACTGCTGATGGTTTTGTCTTAATTTTAATCTTTTTAAGGGCAAGGATTACAAAATCTTTTCTTTTTTATTCCCATAGCTTGTAGCTATCAGACATGCAGCACACAAAATCCTAGTTATCTCTGCCACTCTCCTAGTTATCTTTGCCACTTTCCTACAAGCTTGGGGGGGTGGGTACCTATTAGTTCCATATTTAGGCAGCTAAAGGTGTCAGGGACCATACTCTCTCACTGTTTTTAAATAAGCTCTAAATTTGTATTCTAAATATGCACATAAGCACGTTTAATAGAGTGCCGTTGTGGATTTCATCATGTACATACGGCTAAAAAATAACTTAATGGATGATCAACTCAGAAAAAAGAAATCTCACCACCCACACACATCTTGCTGAAAGAGGGCAGCGTTTCGCGTCGACAGCAATGCCTGAGAGAGATTCCTCCTCAGTTTTTCAACTTCATCACAGTCAGTTGCTGACTGATTACGCGACGTGCCGCTTCAGCGTCTTTGTATTCCTAAAAGGATTGTGTCTTTATTGCCGGAGTGCACATCTTAATGCAATCACAGGCTTGCAAAAGAATCAAATGCAGAATCTTCAATATCTCTTTCATATTTCCATAATACAAAGAAAGACATAGAAGAAACTTCCTTTCCCTTGTTCTTCTAGGTTGTTACCATCTTAAGATGCTCTGTGGAAGGGAGCCGAGCAGTGGGCAGCGGCTCTGCGTCCAGATAACGAGCGCCTCGCATTTCCGTGGTCTTCCCATTTGCTAGCGCGCTGCTGTGGCCGCTCGCCTGATTGATATATGACTGCAATGGCACTTTTCCATTTGACATTCTCTCTCTCTTTCTCTTTCTCTCTCTCTCCCTCTCTCCCTCTCCCTCTCCCCTCTCCCTCTCCCTCTCTCCCTCTCCCTCTCTCTCTCTGTCGCTTAAACAACAGTCTTAACTTTTGTGTGTTGCAAATATAAAAGGCAAGCCATGTGACAGAGGGACAGAAGAACAAAAGCATTTGGAAGTAACAGGACCTCTTTCTAGCTCTCAGCAAAGTCTGAGAAGAAAGGAGCCCTGCCTTTTCCCCAAGGTAAGCAGGAAAACCAGCGCTGCCGGCTTGCCTAGGAAATGACTTCTTTCCAAACTGAGCATTTCATCCTCCTCTCAAACAAAGACAATCTTAAATACCACTTAAATTTGCATTAATTGAATTTGCATTAATCTGTAGCCTGCTAGCATTGTGTGTGTGTGTGTGTGTGTGTGTCTGTGTGTGTGTGTTTTAATGAACGTGTCTTGGAAGTCTGTGACAGAACAGGGGAGCTTCACAGAGAGGCTTGAAACTACCTTTTGGTTCGATTTTAAGATATTTTTTTTAGAAAATCTCTGGATGATAGTTCTATATAACTTTGGGATGATTCTTCTATTTGGCCACGTGAAAGGGCACTGAGAAGCAGCCTGTCTTCCACCCGGGTTCATGAAGCTCTAGAGATCTTCCCAACCACCCTCACCCCACTACAATGGGGCACTATGAATGCAGGCAAGTCTGAGAGTTTAAAAGCGCACTGTTTACTTTTATTACTACTTATGTATGCTGCTGATCTCCTGCCAGGGCTCTGCCGGAGCGCTTAGAAGGACTTCAAACAATAGGCAACATTTCTTTCTAGCGTTCTGTGCCACACTTTGCAAGAATTCTGTTCCTTTGCACCCTTCTTCCAACGTGCAGTACTTCCCTCCCATAGAGACAATCTGGAACACGGGGGAGAGATGAGAATGGGTTTGCTCTATGATTTTGATTGGGATAGAGGTCTGAGGCAATGTCTGCTGTTTGCCTTGGCCTTATGGCAAATGGGTATATTTAATAGCAGGGTGTTCCTCCAACACAACCAGCTCCACATTTGGCTGCCCAAGGAGTATCCAGGAAAGGATGCTCCCATCAGCACAAGGGCCAGAACCTGTGGGGGTGTCTCCTAAAAACACCTGAGGAATATTCAAAGGGTTCTTTCAAACTCCTCAATACCAGTTCTCTTTAAAGCAAGAATTGCACTGGAGGAGGCCTGAGCATAACTCTTTCTCAGAGGAGAGGGAAACTTGACTATGAACAGAATGCTAATGACCTCAAAAGCCCTGTAACTGGGGGTCATTGTAATGGATCAGGAAAGAGACAGGCTCCCAAGGGTACTGAGATTCAGGTGTAGAAGAAGCACCTATTTGGAAAGATAAGAATCCATGCTCTGTTCTGTGTAACTAGCATTGGTATCAAATTGGGTTGCTATCGGATATTAAAATGTTACACAGCTGCAGATTGTACTTCTTTTCGTTTATAATATTAGCATATTTTAAATACAAGGAGTTGATGGTGGAAAATTGCTCCAACAAATTATTATTAACTACCAGGTGCATTTTAAAGCACAGAAATGCCTAAAATGCAGAGTTGTCTGTGAGTGTTAACCAAATGCAACAGCGTATGCTGAATACCTTTCAACTGAAGGTTTAGACCAAATGTCAATATCTGCTCTTACTTTCTTCTCCATAGTCTGGCTTCTGATAATTCCTGTCTATTTGAAGAATGTTGCACTGACAGTAAACTTGAGTGTCCTAACAACCATTTTTATTTCGGGGAGGGGATATGGTATATGGTGGACTTTGCTGATTTGCTCTCAAAATTAGCCTCACAAACATTGCTGAAATGAAAATCTGGCTTCTGAATGGGTTAATTTTCAACTTTCGAACCAGCACTATTGAAAAAGCCTATAAAAGATCCGATGGACTCTACCACTACAAATATTTATAGTGATTTGTTTTTAAAGTATTGCTGTTATAATAGTATTTAACCAAATCAAAATAATTTTCTTAAATTGTTATTCAGGTTGTTATATGATAGTACTTATCCCCAAAGAGCAAAGGTTTGCATCATTTTGGTAAAAATGCAGGTAAAGGGTCAAAAGAAAGGGGAATGGACACGGGCTTTCTCGATGGGTGTGAAACAAGCAGCTGAACTTCTCAGAAGGAAATGCGCCTGTCCCATTTTGGACCTTGATTCGAGTCCCAAAGACACTGTCAAGAGAAAACTAAGCACTTTTTGGATACATTTAACTATTTCCAACTCATTTTCTTTCCTAAGATCTTGAAAAAATATGAATTTTTTTTTCAGAATTAGAGCCACCAATGATGACCAGCAAATTTTAGGCTATTTTATGAATTTGTGATTCAAGTGCTACTATTTTATTTGTGCTACTCTTTATTAGTGATTCCACCATCCTTTTAATAAACATTTGTTAAGTCCTGATGATTTAACGATGAGGAGGACATTGTTCTACAGCCTAATTCTCAGTTGGCATGGTATCTCCACTTAGATTTGGAACCGAAAAGGGCTTTGCCAATGGATAAACTCAGTTATGAAGAATTATTTAAAATATTCACTGGTGTCTATGTTTACTTGAAATGATGAGTACTCATCAATGGGATTTTTTCCCCATAGATGATTAAAGGATTCCCGTTAGATTTTTTTCACCTTATCATTGGGTACATGTCATTTGTATAGCCTGGATCTTTTCAACCTGAGTAGAACGATCCAGTTTCTGTTGGGTTGATTCTCACTCTGGATGACTTCATGTGTGTCAAAGTAGCACCACACTGTGTAGCATTTTCACAGTGGCTGATTTTTTCAGTAGTAAACTGCCAACCTTTCTTCCAAGGTACCCATGAGTGAATTCGAATCTCCAACCTTCAGTTCATAGCCAAGTATGTTAACTGTTTGTACCACTCGGGGTTGAAGAACTCTGTACAAAGACTTCTTTTATCTCATCTCTGGCCCCTTGAACAGGGTAGAGCCACATGCTGTCTCAATCAGGGATGGAGATGAGTCACCTCCTCAGTGGCTAACATCAGGGCCACTTAATGAATCACTGAATCAGAAAGATGCATGGAGGAAAATTCAGTCACTGTCTCCCACCACTTGTTCTACCCCCAAGATAAAAAACAGTGACCTCTGAACCTGGAAGACATTCAAAAAGCCCATGGGAATAAGTTGCCTGAATTTATTCCCCAAATCCAGGTCTCTCTAAGAACCATGCTTGCTGTTTGCAAATAATCTAGCCGTGTGCTTTATGATGCAGTTAGGCTACTCAGAAGAAATCCAGGAAGCATCACCACTGAAGTCTAGGGTCCTGGTTCTCATCAACACTCTCTTGGTGGGTTTAAAATGCTTCATGTTCCCTGGAGTGCCAAATTCACCCCAGGAAACCATAACAGGCACATTGCTTCCCCAGTGAATGCACCTTTCTCCGGGTTTTCTCACTTGGCCCTTAGGAGTGGAGGGGTTGGGGAAGCAGGTGGAAGCACAGAGAAGTGTTAACGCCTAGGAGGGAAGTAGGGCCATGTGAGGGTGGGTGAGCTCCAGGGCCTCGTTTGCTGTGGCCTGTCCTGGCTGTGATCAGCTGTCATTTCCTCTTTGTGTATGACACTGTGGAACATATTAAAATTTCTCTGGGATGGTATGTTTGGAATTCTTCTGATGCCCCACCTCATCAACTTACTCAGACAATAAAAGCAAGGTTGTAAGCCTTTGAACAGCTGGCAGGCTATATATTTCCCTGCTTTCTTTCGTATAATCTAATTCAGAAAAGAATCCAGTGAGACTGGCAGTGCCATGTCTGGGCACTTGTTTCCTGCAAGCCCTTCCTCCGCCACCTCTACCAACCGGATCAGCTGGAATCTCCCTGGGTGGCATGTGGCTTTTCTTCTCCTTCTTGCTCACCGCCACTCCCACCCCGCCCCCTTTCCCCTTAGCCTGAGCTCCTTTCATTGTGAGCTCACTCTTCCACTCTGCTGGTTTTCCAGACAGCCTGGGTCCTGGGCCTTCAGGGGAGAATAGCCCAGTAGGTCTCCACATCTCCATAGCCTTCCCAAGATGTCATTCTTGGCACCAGCTCTGTTGCTCTGATAGGACTGGGGGGCTGTTTGTAGACCAGAGTCTAAACCCACTCACAGCCACATGGCTCGGCTGCCCTTTAGGCTGCCGGAGAC